TCCTCCCATCCATCCATCCATCCATCCATCCATCCATCCATCCATCCATCCATCCATCCATCCATCTATCTACTTTCTGTCTGTCTGTCTGTCTATCTACTATCATCTATCTCTATCTCTATTATCTATCTATCTATCTATCTATCTATCTATCTATCTATCTATCTATCTATCTATCTATCTATCTATCTCTATCTATTATCTATCTAATCTGTCTATCTATCAACTATCATCTGTCTATCGCCATCCATCCATCCATCCATCCATCCATCCATCCATCCATCCATCCATCCATCCATCCATCTATCTATCTATCTATCTATCTATCTATCTATCTATCTATCTATCTATCTATCTATCTATCTATCATCTATCCATCCATCCATCCATCCATCCATTTAAGAAAGGTCATAAAACGGGGAAAAATTCACTTAAGAGATGTCTGGCTTAGCAACAGAGATTTCAGGCTCAGTTGTGTCATAAATGGAGGACCACCTGCCTTAGATTTATTTCTCTCCTTTATTTTGTCCAACTCGTGGCACGGCACATAAGCTCCTGCCCATTTTCCCCACAACAACCCTCTGAGGTGGGCTGAGCTGAAAGAGCCTACCACGAAGGTCTCTCTGGCACCAGGACGGTCAATCCTCAATTTATTTCAGCCGGGGGGGAAATTCACCTGGTTTCCCAGTCTCTTCCGACAAGGTTGATTACCACGTGGCTATTTTCGACAGCTCTCCAGGTAGAATCCTTGTCGCGCGCATCCCATTCCTGGTGACCACAGAAACACAAAGGTAAATTAAATGATGTCCGCACACCTTTCACAAAGTGTGGCCAGTAGTTTCTGGTCCATGTAATAGCAGTAACACTTATAGCAATAGCACTTATCTCATCTATCTATCTCATCTCATCTTTTCTTATCTTATCTATCTTATCTATCTTTTCACTTGTTGTTTTGCCTTCGTAAAGATTTGAGGCAAACTCACACCCTACCATAAAAATAAGCTGTCCTAGGTCCCCCATGGGCCGAAGGTACAGGAGATCGTACTCGTCACAGCGGTACGGGATGACGACTTGGGAACCGATACGGCCTAGAAGAAGAACAAGAAAAAAGTTTCTTTGGAATGGGTCAATTACAGGATAGTAAACGTTAGCATTGAGCCACACACACTTTTTACATGTCAGATTGCAAAAGGGGTGTTCATACAGAAATTAAGTTCCTCTGGGTTTCCCGAAGCCCTGTGCCCCGTGGTGTAGAGACCGTTTGAGCTACAGGGAAGGCGCCAGGCTAGGAAGTGGGAGAGCGTGAATTCTAGTCCCACCTTAGCCATGAAAGCCAGCTGGGTGACCTAGAGCCAGGCGTACACTCTCAGGATTGTCGTTTGTGGGGGGAAAGGAGGAGGGAGAAGTATTGGGTATGTTCGCTGCCTTGTTTGTAAAAATAACAAGCAATAGCACTTAAGACTTATATACCGCTTCACAGTGCTTTACAGCCCTCTCTAAGCAGGTTACAAAGTCAGCCTATTGTTCCCAATGATCTGGGTCCTTATTTTATGACCTCAGAAGGATGGAAGGCTGAGTCAACCTTGAGCCGGTCAGGATCGAACTGCTGGCAGTGGGCAGTGAGTTAGCCTGCAATGCTACATTCTAGCCACTGCACCACCATGGTGCCTGCCTGCCCGCCCTCCTCCCTCTCTCTCCCTCCCTCCCTCCCTCCCTCCCTCCCTCTGCTTCATTCTTTTTTAAATGTCCTGAATTATATCAACTTGATATTTTTGTTACATGCATATATATATATATATCTTAAAAACAATCTTAAAAACAGACGAATGATTCCTGGGTACATTCATGATAAAAGATAAAAGAAAGTGAACACCAGGAAGAATTAAAAACTATAAAAGTTTTAATAAATTAGAGCCCAAGCTTTCACCGGCCACTGCCGGCATCATCAGGGATCTATGTAGGTTAATGGGAGCGCTTATTTATGGTCAAACTACTTTTGCACCCGACCCATGGATGCTGTCATGGGATTCCGTCGGCCAATCGGCGTTCTGACACTGTTTTTGTTTTATTAACCAACTTGCCTGCGCTGCTCCTATCCTCACACAACTTGCCACTGCTTTTTCCCTCCCCCTCTCTCCTTCTTCCTTTCTGTATTTCTGCACCAGTCTTTCGTTCTACCCTGCCGGGAATGGATCTACGTTCTATATATATATATATATATAATTTTATGAAAAGCCCTTCTGATGGGCTCATTTAAAAAGAAATTTTATGATGCTGCTAGAGGATAAATTTGTAGCATTTACCTGCATGATTGAACGGCGTATTGGATATGCAAGTCGGACAAGCAATACCTTAATAAACGACAACATTAATTTATTAAATGAAGTCTATCCTTGTCATATATTACCTAGGTGGTTAACAATATATCGGCCCAGAAATCCTGTGGCCCCAAAGACTGTGGCCACAATGCCACTGACGGAGGAACGTCCACTGCGCCCATGAGGCATCACCGAATAGTGAATGGAGCGATCTTGTTGAAGAAGCGACAACACCCCTGCAGGAATGCCATAGCCTAAAACACAAGGACATTGAGCACACATATGAATATTTATTCATCTCCAAGATTTCCATTCAACCCCAAATTTCCATTGCTGGGCGAGACGGCGGTCGAGTTTTGCCCCATTTTACGACCTTTCTTGCCACGGTTCTTAAGTGAATCGCTGCAGCTGTTAAGTTAGTAACGCAGTTGTGAAGTGAAACTGGCTTCCCCGTCAACTATGTTTGTCGCAAAAGGTGATCACATGACGCCGGGACACTGCAGCCGTCGTAAATATGAGTCAGTCGCTAAGCGTCTGAATTTTGGTCACACGGCTTGCTGGGAGGATGACTGCGTTTTCCCCAAAATAAGACCCAACTGGAAAATAAGCCCTAGCGTGAGTTTTCAGGATGCTCGTAAAATCAGCCCCACCCCCAAAATAAGCCCCAGTTAAGATGGTCAGTCATGCCTTATTTCCCGGAATATAAGCTACAATCTGTGAATTGAGGAGGAGGAGGGTGGAGGAGGAAAGTAACTGAGTCCCTGCTGATT